TATATACCTAGTAATGGAATGGCTGGGTCAAATGGTATTTGCATTTCCAACTTTTGAAGGAATTGCCATAATTTATCAGTACATCTTGACTGCATGTTTGGCCAATTTCCTCCAGAAGTTGATTAAAATCTTTTAATTTTTTCATCCTTGGTTTTAGTGGTTGGTGTATATATTTGAATTATAGTTGTATTCACCGGTGTTTCTTTTAGGTTGTGTGTATATTATCCTATCACTCACAATATTGTACTGCAGGATAGATGCTGAAATGTTCCTTTTGGTGATGAATGTGATGCCGTTCCTCCTCCATTTGTCATTCCTGGCATGGCAGATTATATGATTGTCCATTCAGAATGGCCAATGCCAGTCCATTTCAGCTCACTAATGCCTAGGATATAGGTCTTTATGCATTCCATTTTATTTTGACAACTTCCAGTTTTCCTAGATTCATACTTTGTACATTCCGTGTTCCGATTATTGATGGATTTTTGTACTGTTTCTTCTCATTTCAAGTTGTGGCTCAGTTTAGGAGGCTGGAAGTTCAAATTCAGGGTTCCAGCTCCAGGGGAAGGCTTTGTGTCTGTCAGCTCTGGGGGAGGTTCTTTTCTCTTAGAACTTCTGTTCTTGCGCGAGCTTCATGCGGCTTGTCATCTCTCTCCCCCCATCTCTGCTTCTGCTCACTTGTTTAACCTCTTCTAAATCTCAAAAGTGATGGACTCAAGACACACCCTACACTCATCCCACCTCATTCAGGTAACAAAGATAGCCTGTTTCCAGATCGGCCACAGTTTTTGGGACACAGTTCAGTCCATAATACCATGAAGAGAGCAGGGCAGCAGGATGAGGGATTAGCCCCAGGAAGTTGAGCATATCAGTGGCCAGTACCTGCTGCCTCTCCCTGCGTAGCTAAAGGAATGTCCGTGTACTGCAGTTTTCCTCAGTCGGGTTGGCAGCCCTCCCCCAGGAACATGGCAGCAGGGTGGCAAGGGAGAGCACTGGCCTTGGCACTGGTGTCCTGGGTTGAAGGCTCTGCCACTTGGCCGGTTTCTGGATTGCTCTGAGCCTCAGTCTGTGTGGCTGCAAGGAGGATGGCAGGGTTGTGCTGAAGGTGGGATGAGCTCCTCATTCCTGGGTGCAGTCAGATGTGGAAGTGGGTCGACCTGATGGAGCTGCTCCATCAGGAGGGAAGGGTGAAGGCAGGTGGCCCCAGGCCTCAGGAGGTTGTGACATGGAAATGGGGTGTGGGAGCCACACTTGGCAGAGAATGACAGAGGAGATGGAAGGGAGGGGGGCGGAGGTAACCAGAGGCAGGCTGGATGGTTCAGAGGAGCTGGGAGGTGAGGGCTGAGAGGAAGGGCTGTGCAGCTAGTAAATGATTGAGTGGGCTGGGCCTGGCCCCGAGGAGGAGGGAGGTGGGGAGCTCTGGCCTGGTGGCTGCTTGAATCTGCCTGGGAGGAGGCATGGCTCTCTTAAGAGCTACTTGGCGACAAAGGGGTCTCTGTGGCAGTCAACAGGGAGAAGGCAAGGGCTTCTGAGGCTGATGTTACAGTGCTAGGTATGCTGACTTGTTCTCATGTCTACTTCTCTTTTCAGTGATAATGGATAAGTACCAGGAGCAGCCTCACCTGTTGGACCCTCACCTTGGTAAGAATAGTGACTGAGGACTTTGGTTTGATTCTTTGGTGAAAGGGGATTAAAGGCCTTGGAGCACCCATGAGTATGTCAGGATGAAGCTTCAAGAGATGCCGTGGTGTCCATGTTAGCAGTGCATGCTGTAGCTTTTATTGGACTTGGGATAGTGGCTTGAGTTCCCATGTCCTGCTGGGCTGGGAGCGGATTGGGCTGCCTTTGCACCTGCTGCCCTAAGCCAGGGCCTCATCATGGTCTCGCCTTTATGGGTTTCTTTGCCTGTTTAGTCTGGAGCCCCCCAGCTTCCTGCCTCCCCAGAGTCAGCACCATTGTCTCGTCACCTTGTTCCAGGCCCAGCACCCCTCTCCTGTCGCCTTGCCGCTGCTCCAGGCCTAGGACTTCTCCTGTCATCTTGCTGCTACTCCAGTCCTAGCACCTCAGTCCTGTCATCTTGTGCTGCCCTAGGCCTCCCACTTTAGTGCATCTGTGCTTTTATTTTAGTACATTCTTGGGGAATGGGAAGCAGAAGTGTATGGACAGCTCTTTCCAGTTTTTTATTCTCACAGATAGCACAATATCCTTAACACGATCTTTGTGGAGTTTTCCAGTTGTGTTTGCAGTTATTTCATATGCGTGGAAATGTTGCAGGTGCTCACTTTGAGTTTGTTCACTCACTTCTACCAACATCATTTGTGAGTCTTTTCCTTACGCCTTTGTCAAGGCAACATGTGAATTCAATGTTTGAGTTCTTAAAAAAAAAAAAAAAAATATATATATATATATATATATATTTTTTAATTGTGACTTGGGTGAAAATTTGCAGAGCAAATTCACTCCATACAGCAGTTCACATACACTTTGTCTTATGACATTGAGCACAATTTACCACAATGCAACAGCTCCCCTCCCACTTCTCCCATCAGTTACTCTTCCCTGTGTCCATCCGTCCCATATACCCCTACCCCCTGAGCTGTCTCCCTGTGCATAAACAGCCCTTCTTTCTCCCATGATTGTTCTGTCCAAGGAGTGTATCTACCTCAGATAAATGTTCAACTCATGTTGTTGTTGTTGTTATGTGCTATTAAGTTGGCCCCGACTCATATGCCTGTCTTTTGTTTGTCTGGCAGCCACAGGTGTGATTCAATTCCAGACCTGAAGGGCAGCCAGGGACCATAGTCTCAGTGGTTCCACCAGGCTCTATCGGACCAGCAAACCTGGTCCTCCTTTTTTTTTCTCCAAATGATTTTGAGTTTTGTTCCACATTGTTCTCCCTCTCTATCCAGGATCTCCTACGTAGATCCCGCTCCAAGGGGTTGACAGTGGTAGCCAGGCACCATCTAGTTCTTCTGGTTTCATAATCGTATAGACTGCAGATCACATGGTGTACAAGTCACTAGGACTAATTGTTGCCATGAATTTTTGATTTTCTTCATTCTTCTTTGCTCTGGACGAGGAGAGACCCATCGTTGCATCTAGATGGCTGCTTGCAAGCTTTTAAGATCCCAGTCGCTACTTGCCAAAGTGTTTTGTGTAGTATGTTATGTATGCCAATTAAGCTTAATGTCCCCTGCAACTATGGTCCTGAGCCCACAGGATCAACTACTTGGTCCCTCTGGGTAGCTGGCTGTGACCAAGAACTGCCCCTTGTCAGCGAATTCTTGAAATCTTTACCAACACAGATATCCTATACCTGTTGCCACTGAGTGGCTTTTAACTCATAGTGACCCTGTAGGGTAGAGTAGTGTGGTCCCATAGGGTTCCCAAGGTTGTCATCTTTATGGCAGGAGCCCTGGTAGCACCCACCAGCCTACCAGCTGCTCTGTGGGAGAAAGATGCGGTAGTCTGCTGTGAGTTGGAATTGACTCAATGGCAGTGGGTTTGGCTTTATTTTAATCTTTACTAAGCAGACTGCCACATCTTTCTCTTGCAGAGCAGCTCGTGGGTTTGAATTACGGCTGAGCACTTAACTGTGGTGCCAGCAGGGTTCCTTAACATAGACGTGGAGCTGACTGTTGAAAGGAAAAAATCTATGATTTTATTTTGTGTTTGTTGCTTTCTGGTGAAGGTGAATTTTTTGTATTTACTAAGTTTTGCAATATTTCTCCTTTCAGATGTTTCCGTTTTGTTTTGTTGTTATATTGTGTTTAATTCTATAACAAGTGTTTGGTATGTGTTTTTCCCCAGAATGGATGATGACCTTGCTGCTGGACATAGTGCAAGAGAAGACATCTTCACCCACCCTTGTACATCTGGCTTTTAAGTTTCTCTACATCATCACCAAGGTAACATTCACATGGTCCTTTGTGGGCTACGCTAGGGCCAGAAATGACCCTCCAGGATGTTGTTTGACTGGAAAGATGGTTCTCACAGGCTAGCTGTGGTTTCCCTTTCTGTCTTTTTACCATATTGGGAAACCAAACCTTAGTGATCCAGGGCTTCCTCTGGAAGCAGTGTCTAAGGTATTTGGCATCTTGCACTTGAATAGAGTGAATCAGCACCCAGCTGAAAGGGGACTGGGGGTAGCGTGTATGTGCCCATGAGCTGGCTAACTCAGGAGAGTTTATTACAAGGAAGAAGCAGACAAATTTGGTGGAAACAGAAGTGCTTCTCAAACCTGAGGAGCTCTGGTGGCGCAGCGCCTAAAGCTTCTGAGTGGTAGCCAGAAGGTTGGTGGTTTGAACTCCCCAGCTGCTCCGTGGAGGGAAGATTGGACAGTCTGCTTCTGTAAAGGTTTATGTCTTGGAAACCCAGTGGGGCTCGCTGTGGGTCTGAATCGACTCGATGGCAATGAGTTTGATTTTGGTTCTCAAGCTTTAATGTGCATGTGAGTTTCCTGGGCATCTTTTGAAATGCAGTCTTCCTTCTCTGCCTCTCTTTCAAGCTTCAGGGCTTGCCGGTTTGTGGGTTTGGCCGTGGGAGGGACTCTGGGTCTTCCAGGGAGGGGTGGTGACTCAGACCACATGATACAGTGCTGCTGCTGGAGGTGGGAGAGACTCTTCCTGGCCGGGCCTGAGGGTGGGTTGCCAGGCCACACGCTGCTCTGCTGCTGGCTAGCTTGGGTGTTTGGGGGTAGATCCCTCCCACAGGGTTAGTGTCGCTGGGGTTATGGACATGATATGCTGGAGGAGGGTCCTTGAATTTGGGGACCTTTGAGGTTCTTGAGGATCTTATTCCTCATGAGCCTTGGGACAGTCATACAAGTGGAGTTGAACCACGGTTTGCAGCCTTGGCATGTGTCTCTGATGAGCCATGCGTAAGGGTGTTAGGTGGAAGTTGGACACAGTTAATGAATGAAATGACGCAGGAGTAAGGATAGCTCAGAGCCACATGTAAGGGTGTTAGGTGGAAATATTAAAAAAACCAAACTCACTGCCGTTGAGTTGGTTCCGACTCATAGCAACCCCTCCTTGGGTTTCTGAGGTGGTAGGTATGTCTATGGAAGTAGACTGCCCAGTCTTCCTTCTGAGGAGTGGCTTGTGGGTTTGAACCGCCAGCCTTCTGGTTAGCAGTCAAACGCCTTAGGCACTATGCCAGCAGAGCTCCTTAGTGAGAAGATAAACGGATTAAAAAAAAAAACAAAAAAAAACCTCACTGCTGTAGAGTCCATTTGACTCATAGCAACCCTTCCTTGGGTTTCCGAGGTGGTATCTCTACGGAAGTAGATTGCCCAGTCTTCCATCTGAGGAGTAGCTGGTGGGTTTGAACCACCAGTTAATGAAAGAAAATGATGTGTGAATAAGGATAGGTTGACCTGTTGTTACTGTAGTCTTACTAGGTTGTATCACTGTCATGTGGTTCATTAGCTTGGGCGTTGGGTGGCATTCAAAAAACTCACTGCTGTCGAATCTGATCCGACTCATAACGACCCTTGGGTTTTCGAGGCAGTATCACTACGGAAGTAGGTCACCCAGTCTTCCTTCCGAGGAGTGGCTGGTGGGTTTGAACTGCCAGCCTTCTGGTTAGCAGTCAGATGTCTTACGTACTATGCCACCAGAGCTCACATTGGGTGGCATAGACAGTAATTTTTTTTTTTTTTTTAATTTTATTGTGATTTGTGTGAAAGAGCAAATTCATCTTCCATACAGAAGTTCACATATACTTCCTCTAATCCCCCACAATGCAATAGCTCCCCTCTTACTCCCTCCCCGTAGTTACCTCTTCCCTGTGTCCTTCCCTCCCGTGCACTTCTGCCCCCTGAGCTGTCTCCCTGTGCACACATTGCCCTTCTGTTCTCCCGTGATTGATCTTTCCAAGGAGTGTATCTACCTCAGGTAAATGTTCAACTCGTATACCTGTCCTTTTTTTTTTTTTTTTTTTTAACTTTTTATTGTGATTTGGGTGAAAGTTTACAGAGCGAATTCATTTTCCATACAGCATTTCACATACACTTTATCTCATGATGTTGATTGCAATTTCCCACAATGCAACAGCTCCCCTCTTACTCCCTCCCCGTAGTTACCTCTTCCCTGTGTCCATCCCTCCATGCACTCCTGCCTCCCGAGCTGTCTCCCTGTGCATACACAGCCCTTCTATTCTTCCATGATTGATCTCCAAGGAGTGTACCTACCTAATGTAAATGTTCAGCTCATATTAGGCAGTGATTTTTGACATGTAGAGAGTAAAGATAGTTTTGTTACTGTCTGTATTTTATAGCTGTCTTAACAATTTGATCTGTTTTTTTATTTGGTAGGTCCGAGGATATAAAATATTTCTGCGTTTGTTTCCTCACGAGGTGGCTGATGTGCAGCCTGTTTTAGATATGTTTACAAACCAGGACCCGAGGGACTATGAGGTGAGTTCTGCTTCTCCCTCCCAGCCCTTTTCCTGCTGTGCTGCTTCCAATGTTCGTCTCCTCACTGCGAACCTCATCCTCCTGTCCTGCCCAACTTCCTCTCCTTCCCTGCTTTTCTTTTATTCTTTTGACTTGGCAAAACTTTGCTTATGTATGTCACTTCAATTTTTTTTTTCCTTTAAAAAAATGCCATTTATAAAGACAGAACGCCTAGGTACAGTTTGGTGATGAATCTGTCACTGCCCATGGTGTTTTAAACTTGAACTAGAACTGTCTTGGGATCCCCAAGACCACTGTCAGGTGGAGATTCACTAGGCGGACCTCTAGGACACAGCGTGGTCCTACCCACAACTGGCACATATTGTAGCAACCTTTCCATGCACAGAGTAGATCGGCAGATGGGCTGGTGCGTGAAAAGGTTCCCAGGGAACAGCAGTTGCGAGGTTCCAGAGCCCGGTCCCAGAGGAGTCTCCCAGGAGCACTGGATGCTTCCAGCAATGAATTGGGACAACATGTGGGTGCTGTCCACAGGGAAGCTCGTTAGAGACTCAGTGCCCGGATTTTCTCTGGGGTTGGTCACATAGGCACCTCTGCCTGGTGCAGACCAGGATTCCAGACTCCCAGAGGCAGAGCAGGGCAGGAAGATAAACCATATTGTTTGCACAGCTTGGGTGTAGTGAGCCCTTTTATCACTTAGGGGATGGTGGGAGCCCTTCCAGAATCCTGGTTGTTGGACACTGGCCTGGGGCTAGCGCTGCAGCAGCCTCTCTAGGGCTGTAGTCTCAGGCCTGCTGTGTTCACCTTTGTGTGCAGTAATGTGTTCAGGACAGCACGTGGTTTGTAACCACACAGCTCAGTGCCTCGTCTCAGCATGATCCTCTCCTGATGCTAAATGGAGACTTGAGTGAGGAGTCTGCTTCTCTTTGTCCTGTGCTAATGCTTCTCCCGAGTGGGATGATTCCAGGGTCATGCTGGAATCTTGCCTTACTGACTGTGTGAAATAAGGGCACTCTTTATTGGCTAGAAGCTGAGCTCTTTTCTTTATTCTGAAGCCTGTGACCTGTTCGCTGTCTTTTACCTGTTTTGAACTTTCTCAGAAGGTGGGCTGGGCAGGGAAGAGAAGCTGCTGTTCTGATGGGTTGTAATTCTCTGTTCACCTTTGATGCCTCTGCTGTCTGCTGCAGCAGTGAGTGTGTGCTCAGGGGTGCGGTGTGTGTGTGTGTGTGTGTGTGTGTGTGTGTGTGTAGAGGTCTGGCCCTGCACTCTGTTTTTGGCTTCTGAGGCCTGGCATTTGCAGGGTCTGGGGTGGACATCTTAGATGGGCAGGGGGACTATGAGTGCTATGTGGCTGTTACCTATATCCCTTATTCAAGAATCACTCTTGGCAGAATTCCTTTTTCTTTTTCTAAATTTTCATTGTGATTTGGGTGAAAGTTTATAGAGCAAATTCCTTTTCCATATAGCAGTTCATACACATTTTGTCTCACAATGACTGCAATTTCCCACAAGGTAACAGCTCTCCTCCCGCTTCCTTCCCACAGTTACCTCTTTCCTTTGTCCTTCCCTCCATGCACTCCTGCCCTCTGAGCTGTCTCCCCATGCATACACTGTCTTTCTAAGCTCCCATGATTCATTGCTCCGAGAGAGTACCTGATGTAAATGTTCACCCCATATGCCTGTCTTTTATCTGGCTGGAAGTCTTGGCAGGGTATCTTATCGAACCAAAAGATACTTAAACGTTTACCTGTCGCTTGCATTCATTTAACCCTAACCTCTTAGACTTGGGAAACCCGCTACATGCTGTTACTGTGGCTCTCGGTGACCTGCCTGATCCCTTTTGATTTTTCCCGCCTTGATGGGAACCTTGCTGCTCAGCCTGGGCCAGCACGAATACCTGTAATGGACCGTATTCTCCAGATCGCAGAGGTAAGTTCACGTGTCTGTGCCAGTGTTAGTGTTTTCTTCTCACCTGTCTTGATGTCAGGGCTCAGGTGGGATGTGGAACTTTGTGTGTTTCTTCAGCGGGTGTTGGTATTTCTCACTGAAGAGGCAGCCTTGTTCTGTAGTTTCTTTTGAAAATCCGACAGTTCACAAAAGGTTAGGATGGCTTACCTCTCTCAGGCTTTTGAGGGCAGTGGGAAGAGAAAGCACAGATCTGGGTTCCATTTGATTTTTAACATTACATGAATTACACACAAGCATTGCAGAAAAGCTAGAAGATAAGAGAAGTGAGAAAATATACCAAATTGAAGCCTCCCAAATTCTAGTGCTGAGAGGTAATAACACTTGCATGTTTTTCTCAAACTTTGCCTAGTGCACATATTATGCATACAAACATAGCCTGCCACGTCTGTTAACTACTGCTGCATGAAAGTTATATCCACCCTCTCACACTTCTGAGGGTCATGAGTCTGGGCCTGGCGTAGTGGGGCCTCTGCATGTGTAGTTGTCTGGGGTGGGCTTCGTGTCCATGCTCAGTGACCACTGGCAGGATTTGCCTCTTTCCAAGCCATGGGGTGAGTACCTCAGTTTCTTCCTGGCTGGGGAATGGGGCTGCCCTCCTTTCCTTCCCATGTGGCCTCATTATGGCACCTTGTTTCACCAAAGCTGGCAAGGGAGAGTCTGCTGGAAGACAGAAGTCATGGTCTTGGGTGAGCTAGTCATGGAAGTGACACTTGTCCCTTTGCTAGGTCCTTTTGGTAAGAAGCAAGTCGGCATATCCACCCCCATGCACGGGAGGAGGTTACACAGGGTGTGAGCACCGGGGGGTGGAGTCTGTCCCAGAGTCTCCCCCCCACGCTTGTTCATGACAATGGTAGGTATTCATTGAGTGCCTATTGTGTGCCATGCACTATTCTAAAGACGTGCATTGTCCTATTTAACTCTGCTTTATGAGCTCATTGACTGCTTCTACCCCATTTTACTGAGGAGTAAGAAGCACACTTTGGTCATAAATGGGGGATCCCAGTTTGAACCCTGGCAGGCAGTCTGGCGTCTTGAGTCTGCTCTTCACCAGCGTGTGGAGCTGGCCTGCATAAACACAGGTTATAAAAAGTGGCTCCTGACCTTCTGCTCTGGGTCTTGTTTTGTCCTTAGTAATATGTTTTGAACATAAGCAAATAGGTGTCAGCCCTGTAATCTTCATGGCCAAGGGACCCCACCGTAGAGATGTTTTCTCTTTATTCTCTCGTAGATGGGTGTTTTGTTTGTTCCTGTCTTGTTCTGTGAGGGAGATACGCTAACAGACACTCTGTTGTCTGATCAGTGGGGTTGCCAGTCCCAGGGAGCATGACCTTAATGTTCTGGTGCTTTGTATCACTGTCCACACAGCCTGCACTGGCCAGAAAGACCTTTGAGACGTAGCATTTGGGAAAAAGCAACTGAGATGAGAATTGGGAAACTCTTAAGGCAAGCCTTCTGAAAATGTCTGGGTCTTTGTATGAAGTGGTGGTCCTCTTCAGTTCGGCTGGCCTCTCCTGGTGCTCTGAGCACCAATGTACGGGTGGGCCCAGTGGGTGCTCGTGGCCCTTCCTGATACTTGGTGACCGACATGTGCTTTTCATTTCCTGCTTTGTTTTTGTAGGTTTGTGCTTTATAAAGGCATGTGGCAGCGCCACGTAGAACAGGCATTTGCCTGAGTGACTACGGCATTTAGCAGCTTCACCATTTGGGCCCTGCTCTCAGAAGAGGGAGGAGGCAAGGGCATCCCTAAGGTGTCTCTCTGCCTCGGCTGCCATGGGGCCCTGAGGTTTTTATCTGGGAGTGTGATAGTGTATGTCCTTTCTCCGTTGTTTTCAGTCCTACTTGGTCGTCAGCGACAAGGCCCGTGATGCTGCTGCTGTCCTCGTGTCCAAGTAAGTTCAGGGGGTTCCTTCACCGTGTGGGGTGGGGTTGGTTCTGGGGCTGGTGTTGGTTGTGGGGCTGGTGCATGGCGGCTGGTTTCTGAGAAGGTGACATCTGTGTATCTTGTGTATCACATTCACATCATGTGTGCCTCCTCAGAGGGGAGACATCAGGCTGGTTGTCCTGGTGAGGTCTTCTGTGTGTGTCCGTGTGTGCTTCTGCTGTCACCCTCTGAGTGCACTCACTGTTGCTGGACAAGGAAGGGGTCTAGCTGGGAGGGACTGCCATCAGTGCTTGTGTGGGGCACTTAGAGGGGCTGCTTACGGCCCGCACTGGGAGCAGTTATTGCTGGGCCATGGCCTCTGTCAGTGGCTATCACCCGAGAAGCCCCTCACCCAGCAGTCCGTGGAGATTGCACACAGGGACGGGGTCCTTGTGGCTTGGAGTAAAAGTCCCAAGTACCATGTCGACTTGAGAGCTCACTGTGCCTCACTGCAGCGTGGACTCGGTCTCTCCAGGGAGCTGACTGGAGAGCTGGGTGCTGTGACGTAGGAGGTGGTTTGTGGTGCAAACTTGTTTCCTGAAATGGGAGAGCTGACACTTTAGATTGGTGTGTGATTAAAGTATGTGTGTAGGCAAATAAATGACGCCACTTGACCCTCGGTTTTTCCTCTACATTTGCGAAAGTTTGAAGTTGGCCATGAAGACTTCTGGATGTTGTCACTGGGGAAGTGGGCCACCTGTCACTCAGGGTCACCTCGCACTGAGACACAAAAGCTTCACTTGGGTGAAGGGAAACCAGGAGTAGAGGCTCCTGATGGTTTTGTCCAGGATTTAGACAGATGACAGCTTTTTCCTAATTATAAAAGGGATCGTATGTACTTTGGAAAATAAAGAAAGGCCTGAAGAGCTTCCATGTGTCCCATCATCACCCAGAGATGGGACTCCTTTGGCTCTGTGGTGTGGCACTGCCAGATGTGTGTGTCTTTTGCATGTTGTGTACATGTGTCATATGTAGGCACACAGCATGTTTGCATGTCGTGTGTTGTGTTGGTGTGTTCTTCATATGGATGTCGTGTGTTGCACGTGCATGCTGTGTTTGTGCATATTGTGTGTGTATATGTGTTTGTGTCCATGTCATGTTTGTAAATGTTGTGTTGTGTATGCATGTCATGTTTGTGTACTTGCCATGTTTGTGTATTCATGTCATATTTGTGTGTACTGTGTTGTGTTTGTATTTGTACTTGTGTTTGTGTGTACATGTTGCATGTGTCACATTGCGGTGTAGTAAATTACATAGCGTGGCTTTTTCAGCCATAAGTCTTTGTGAACTCCCTGGTGGAATTTGTTGTGAGCAACTGAGTAGCTCCTGATTGTTAAAGTTATCCACCTGGGGTATTTCTGTTGAGCGTGGCAGGAAGCAATCTTCTGGGAAGTTCTCTCGGGTGCTTAGAATTCTGATGTTGGGATTAGTTAGTTTGGCCACTCTGCCAGGCTCAAAAGGAGTCCTCCTAGAGGCAGATGGGGTCTCTCTCTGATTGCTGGCTGAGAAAGCCATGCTGCTGAGAGAAACACACTCCTGAGAGACATGCATTTGCTGAGAGACGCAAAAGATACGCTGCTGAGAGGGAGATGCAATGCGAGACGTGTTGCTGAGAAACTGCCATCTGCTAAGTGAGATGGCTCGCTCTCGGAGAGACTGAGTGCATTTCTGAACTTGAATTGTAGCCTGGTGCTTCCCTAATAAACTCCATAATCTGTGAGTTCTGTGTGGCCACTGCAGCGAATTATTGAACCCAGTTTTGTTTGTGGGAGGAGTGGTTGGGTGCTGTGGGAGGAGTGGTTGGTGAAAGGGCTGGAGGGAGGCAGCATGTCTGGCCTCGCAGGGATAGGCCTTGGGCTATTGATGGTGATTTATCTTCCTCTTGTGGGGTTAGAGGAGGTAAGAAGATGCAGCCTCCCTGCCCCAGTGGCACATGTTGTGTTCACGTACTACATGTTGTGTTTGTACGTGTACTTATGTTTGTGAGTGTATGTGTTGTGTGTGCCTCATGTTGTTTGTATGTATACTTGTATTTGTGTATGTGTTGTGTGTGCATGTCATCTTTGTGTGTGTACATGTTTTTGCACATGTACTTGTGTTTGTGTATGTGTATGTGGTATGTGTGTGTACTGCGTTATGTTTGCATGTATGCTTGTATCTGTGTGAGTAGTGTTTGTGTACATGTCACATTTGTGTATATGACATGCCATGTTTGTGTACTTTGTGTGTACATGTCATGTGATATGTGTTGCATGTGCACGTTGTGTTTGTATGTGTACTTGTTTGTATGTGTACTTTTGTTGGTGTGTGTACATGTGTGTGAACTCCATGTTGTGTTTGTATGTGTATTGTATTTGTATTTGTTGTTTGCATGTCATCTCCGTGTGTACTACATGTTGTGTGTATGTGTACTTGTGTTTGTGTATTACTGTGTGTACATGTTGTGTTTGTGTGTGTACTACATCATGTTTGTGTGCTTGTGTTTTTCTGCATGTCATGTCTGTGTGGGTACTACGTACCATGTTTGCATGTGTACTTATGCATGTACGTGTCATGCTTGTGTGTGCACAACATGTCATGTTTTATGTGTACTCTTTGTGTGTATATGTGTGCTCATTGGTACATGTTGTGTTTGTATGTGGGAAGTGGTGCTTCACACAGACATGGGTGTGGTGCTTTGCTCAGCCCTTATAAGTGGGACTGCTAACATTTACATAGTCTAGGGTGTGAACATGTCACTTGCTGTCTCATAAGTCCCCTGTTGGATGTTGGGAGTGTTCCTAGTTCATTGTTGGAAACAGCTTGTGTGAGTGGTCTGTGTGGGACCTTGTGCCCTCTTGATGCCCCAGGGTGGATTCTAGAAGTGGAGTGAGCTTTCTAGGGGTTTTAAATGTGATTACTTTCCAGCTAATTCAAAGTCACCTTTACACAGGTTTACCAGCACTAGGTGTGACCTTACCGATGATGTTGCCAAATTTGAAAGTGTCTATTTTGATTGTTGGTTTATTATACTGAGATAGATTCCTGCTGCACTTGCCTTGGGGCATGGAGCTTGTGCGGGCATGAAGGGTGGGTTGTGAGGTGGGGTGGTGGGGGGTGTGAAACCCTGAACCTTCTGCCTGGATGTCCTGCAGGCTAGGAAGGGAGGGATGTGCAGGGCAGCTGGTGAGACGCAGCAGTGCCATCTTGTGGTCAGATGAGCAGGCACTGGGCTTGATTGCGCTCATGATCATCTTGAAGATGCTTCTGACCGTTGGCAGAGGGATGTGTATGGCCAGCGTGCGTGTGGTGTCCGCGGCCATCCTTGTCTTTGTGGTGCAGTGTGTGGATTTCCGAATGTTCATAGAGACAGGATGTCATTACTGTAAAGGTCCAGTGGTACTGCAGCTACGCCTTGGCTGTGTGCTATGCACACAGGCTCCAACTCACTGTACTTCTGTCATTTCTTTGGTGGCACCTGTCCCAAGTGAGGACATGGGCATGAAGCACTTGCTGTACATCTGTACTCATGTCCCAGTATCTTCTGAAGCTGCCTGTCCCTGACATGTCCCCATGTTCCCTCCTGTGGGCACTGCAGTGTGGGGACAATGTCCTGTGTCTCATGGCTCCCTGCCCCTGACGTGTCCCTACATCCCCTCCTGTGGACACTGCAGTGTGGGACGGTGTCCTGTCACCGCGTCCCCTCTTGTGGACACTGCAGTGTGGGACGGTGTCCTGTGTCTCACGGCTCCCTGCCCCTGACGTGTCCCCGCGTCCCCTCCTGTGGACACTGCAGTGTGGGGTGGTGTCCTGTGTCTCACGGCTCCCTGCCTGTGTCCTGTCCCCGCGTCCCCTCCTGTGGACACTGCAGTGTGGGACGGTGTCCTGTCCCCGTGTCCCCTCCTGTGGACACTGCAGTCTGGGGATGGTGTCCTGTGTCTCATGGAGCTGCCTGATGTGACTCTGTGGCTAGTGGACTCCCCCATTGGTATTGCACCTTGGGAAGGGCACCTACTTCCTGTTAATTGTGGACCTTTGACTCTCAGCTATGTTTTGTTAAAACTTGATGACGTTATAGATGGTGTTGCCAAAGTTACTTTTCTGTTAAGAAGATGGTAGCCCTCTATGAGTCTTACTCTGTAGAAGGTCTTCAACGGCAGAGTTAACTCTTAGTCTTACGTCCTTTCACTATACTAACCGAGTCTGTATTCTTAGCAAATAATCCAAGCAGTTGGACTGTGTGAAGAAAACAGCATCAGGATTGGAGGAGGATTCATTGACAACCTGCAATATGCAGGTGCCATAACCTTGCTTTCTGAAAAGAAAGAGGTATTGAAGCACATCCTGATGAAGATCAAAGACTACAGTCTGCAGTATGGGTTACATCTCAGCGTGAAAACAAAAATTTTCACAACTGGACGAATAAGCACAGAGAAAAAAGATTGAAGTTGTCAAGGGTTTCATTTTACTTGGCCCCTCAATCAACACTCACAAAAGCAGCAGTCAAGAGATCAGTTGTTTTATTGCATTGGCATTATCTGCTGCAAAAGTGTTAAAATGCAAAGACATCACTTTGAAGAGTAAGGTGTATCTCACCCAAGCCATGGTCTTTTCAGTAGCCTCATATGCATGTGAGAGCTGGACAGTGAGTAAGGAAGATGCAGAAGTATTGATGCCTTTGAATCGTGTTGGTAAAGAAAGTTGAATATCCCGCGGATTGCCAGAAGAACGAACAAATCTCTTTTGGGAGAGGTACTGCCAGAAGGCTCCTTAGCAGCAAGGATGGTGAGACTTCATGTCTTGTTGTCAGAAGGGATCAGTCCCTGGATAAGGATGTCACGTTTGGTAGAGGGTCAGCAAAATAGGGGAAGACCCTACACAAGGTGGATGAACACAGTGGCTGCCATGATGGGCTCGGAAGCAAAGCAGTAATTGTGAGGCTGGAGCAGGACGGGCGGTGTTCTGGTCTGTTGTACAGGGTCTCTATGA